CCTATTTTGTCTCTTATGAATGTGATGGGTTTGGACTTTACCCCCAGGTCTCAGTGTATGGGGTAAGATGTGGATCCTATGGATAATCTTCAGCAAGATTTTGCGTGCATGTGATATCAGTGATATTGTTTGATAATTTCTACATTCTATTGGATTACCCGTTTTGGAAATGGGGATAAATAAGAATCTCTTCCAGTCAGTCAAGTAGTCTTCCAGATTTCTTAGCACAAGCTGGTGAGCACACCCAGGACTGTATCTGTTTTTTGAAAGACATCAATTGATATTTCATCAATTCTTGAGGCCTTATTTTTTGCCAATTCCTTCAGAGAAGCTTGAACTTCCTCCTTTATTATCATTGGGTCTGGATCACATACTATGTTACTAATTCTTTTCAGTACAGAATAGAAGTTTTTGCTAGAGGGAAACGAAAATTTTCTTGGTAGAGGTGGGGAATTAAGATTCATTTTCTTCTTTAAGTTTTCTATCTAAAACACAAATATGTTTTAGTTACAAAAAGAAAAAAGAAATTATCAATAAAGGGAGACAAGAAGAACATCACTACTCCAATAGCAACTCATTACTACTGTAACAAGTAATGACTTACATTTCAAAAAGCACATAAGGAATTGGTTGATTATGTTGTCACTTTCTCAACAATTCCCTGAGAATTTACTTAAGATTGTTGAGATTTCCAATGACTAACAGGGTGCCATGGACTCAAAGGTGAAGCCAAAGGATTGTGGTTATATATTAAGCAGTGATATTTGTAATTAAAGGAACGAGGTTATTTTCTATTTCTGATTTTTAAAAACTGTGAAGTAAATTGTTTTAGTTGATTCAGTTATATATAAAGATAACTGAAAAGTTACTTCATTGTTTAGGGAGCTCCCAGTGGCCATTTTACTTGGTCTTTTGTCAATGGTTTTATTATACTACTAGGCTACTCAAAGATTATTTCAGTCAGATTGCTGCAGTCCCTGTTTAACTGGAAAAAAATTGTTTCCATTAAGGAGCATTTACAGGATACTATGACAAAACTTTGGGCATGTTGCTAGAAAAGGCTATTCCTTAGAGAGGAACATCATGCTTATAAGGGCAGAGGGCCATCAAAAAAGAAGAAAACCGTCATCAAGATGGATTGACACAGTGACTGTGATTGCAGCAATAGGCTCATATGGCTCAAATGTGTGTCAAGAGATGATAAGAATGGCACAGATAGGACAGACTTCAGGTCTGTTGTGTAGAGGGTTGCTAGGAGTCATACTTAGCTTGACAGCACATGACAACACGTGGATTCAGGCTCCCGAGATACCAGATAAAATGTTATAGCATAGCAATCATTACAATGTTTCATATTTTCATTCTTAAAATTTCTGATGGAAGTAGCCCAAAATGTAAAGACGTCCCCTTAATGATACCTATGCTGTGGAAGTAAGACCTACTACAACCACATTTTTGAGTAATATTTAATATAAATATTTTAGAATTGTACACAGCTTTAGTTTGCTTGGCTCCATAGTCAACAGTCTTGGCACCAGCAGCCAGGAAATTAAAAGGCACATTGCAATGGGAAAGTCTGCTGTTAGGGACCTCTCCAAAGTGCTGAAGAGCAATGGTATCTCTTTGGAGACTAAGGTGTGTTTGATACAGGCCATAGTCTTCGCAATCACCTGTTATGCATCAGAGAGTTGGACAATGACCAAGGAGGATAGAAGGAGAATTGATGCCTTTGAGCTGTGGTGCTGGAGAAGAGTATTGAGAATACCATGGACTGCTAGGAAAACAAACAGATTTGTCCTGGAAAGGGTTAAACCGGGTGGCTCCTTGGAGGCAAGGATTCTGAGGCTCCGTCTAACATACTTTGGACATGTTGTGAGGAGAGACCGGTCCGGAGAAGAACATCATGCTTGGGAGGGTGGAGGGACAGCGCAGGAGAGGAAGGCCCTCTATGAGGTGGATTGATTCAGTGACTGGGATAATTGGGTTGGGAGTGTCAGAGACAGTGCGATTGGCACTAGACAGAGCACAGTTTAGGGCTGTTGTACATAGGGTCACTATGAGTCGCAGGCGACTCGACGGCACATAACAACAACAACAACACTATAATAAATTTCAACAGCGGTCGTTATTGGGTGCTATACCCTTGCTCTGTTCAGCAGCTTCTTGACCTAGCTATAGATTTTGCATGAACACCATCAATCATTCTGGGATCTAATTCATACACCATTGTTGACAGAAATTAAAATTCCCACTGCAGGAAGTTAATAATGTAAAGCTGAGCTCACATTAATGGTACCTTATTGTAGTAGATTCTTTGCTCACTGCAATAAAAATCTGTAATGAACTAAACAAAGTGGTTGATATTGTTTATACCTTTAAGATCATAGTTCAAAAGAATTACGCAAATATGATAACAAAGGTAAGACAAACATAACCTTTATTCACTTTCTGTAGTTTCAGAGAAAACAGTTGGGACCATATTCTGTATTGGCTCAGAATACCTTAAGTTTCTTGTTCTTAAAAATGACTTTCAAATGCATATAATTCCTAAGTATGTAATTTTTAAAAAAGGTAGGAAATCCTCATCCAACATAAAGCAGGACTAGGCTAGAGAGCTCTCCATCAAATACTCATAATAAATAAAAGTTACTCTGTACACATACTACCACCATGATTTAATAAAATAAACTCTTAATGTATAATCTGACAAAATAATTATATTCAGGAATTGAGAGGCCAGAACTATTGTAATTACTAATTGTTTCTGGTTTATGCATAATGGATTTATAATTTCTTAAATCACAACTGTCTGAAATTCTAAGAATATGCATGATAGGCAATGATTATTAATTTTCAACATGCTAGAACAAAATAAAATCAACACAAACTAGTCACTACAATTAAATATTTCTTTGACTATCCAAAACATTTCATAATTCTGCAATACCTTAAAAGTCATGAACAAATAATTATAACTGGAAAGGAAGGTTTGAGAATTCTGACAGAATACCAAATACTGTTTGCTCTTAGCAAATGGACTGATCAAGATAATAACACTTGGTTTGGTTTTAAAGCTAATTAATTTTGCTATAAAAAGCTTTTAAAAATATGCTACTATTTCTTAGAATAATGTCATATATCTTAGGAGGGCTATAAAGCAGTTAGGATTTTAAAATTATCTGAAAATTTCAAGTAATTCTTAAGGTTTCTGTTCATTTATATTTTAGGGTCCTTCTTTCCAGTTTATATATAAAACTGTATCCCGTAGCATTCAATCAAACATGATTTCTAGAAGAAATTTCTTTCCAAATATCAGTTAAAAGGAAGTTTCCTCCCTGATCCAGGGGAAGAGATAAGAGTGAAATCACTTCTCTTGGAGGATATGAAGGAATCAGATAGCAAAAAGGGCTAATCCAGGAGTCAGAAGATATAGATACGAATTTATAGGAGGCAATTCCCTTCTAAGATTCCTTCGAGCTCTCTGAATCCAAGGTTAAAACATTCTCTCGGAGGTATAAAAGCTAACCCTGAATTTTCAACTTTCTCCATAGTATCTGGGAAAGTTTACTTTTTCCTATGCTCAAATGTTAAATTGATACAAACCTTGCCCTGCAAATCTGCATGGCAACTAATTTAATACTCAAACAAATTAATTTCTCAAATCATTTATAGCTTCCTATATCCAAGGGTCAATAAAAAATAGTTCATATACCATGGGCTGCCAAAAGAACAAACAAATAAATCTCTCTTGGTATAAATGCAGCCAGACTGCTTCTTAGAAGCAAAGATGATAAGACTTCATCTCACATACTTTGGGCATGTTTTCAAGAGAGGACAGTCTCTGGAGAAAGACAATACTTTAAAAGCAGAGGAGAAGACCCTCAATGAGCCGACTGATGGACTTAAAGCACAAGCGAGATTGTGAATGAAGATGGGATAGGATCGGACAGGGTTTTGTCCTGTTGCACACAGGATCATTATGAATTAGAGCCCACGTCAGGGTACCTAACCATAGCAATGTTCCAGAGTTCTTTTAAAGGTGTAGTAATTAAGCACTGGGCTGCTAACTAGAAGGTGGGTGATTTCAACCTACTAGCCAGCCACTCAGCAGGAGAAACGCTAAGCAGTCTTCTGTAAAGATTCCTGCTGCTGCTGATTCTGTTCCATCTCATAGCGACTTGTCCATCAAGTTTCAAGCCAGTAAAACTTTATAGAGCAAACTGCTCACCTTTTCCCCTCACATGGGACAGGTGAATCAGAACTGCCCCATAATTTTATGCCACGCCCCCAGGGCTCCTTTCAGAAAAGACTATAGCCTATGATTCCTAAAAAAGGCTACCTTTTCGCTGCTCTAAAAGGGTTGCTATGAGTTGGAATGCACTCTACAGCACACAAGAATAGGTTCAAAGGGGTGTGCTAAATCAGACCTACAACAATGTGGTTATCTCTGTCCCTGGGACCACATTACTACCTGTAAATCTGATCTCAGGAGGAAACATTCAGCATTCTACTTGCTCCTTAGCTTATCAACCTTGACTAGAAAACTCATTAGACACAGCTTGTTAAAACACAGCTTCAAGGGTCAGAATCTCTAGGCATGGTGCCTCCCATCCCAAATATGTTCTCTCCCATACTCACAGAGGTTGTGAGCCTCACAATATACCTATCCTCACACAGAAAGAAACCGAGAAAGAGGAAGGGAAGGAAGAAGAAAGGCACTGGATTGGAGTGGCAATAGCTCTAGATTTAAGAGCCAGAAGCCAATAGCTTGATCTTCAATGAGTTACCATTTTGGGTCTACGTTTCTCTAAGAAGGCTGAATAGGAATGGAGAGCTGTCCAAGTCTGTTTGACTCTATGGTCCAAAAAGCCCAGCAAGAGTGGTTGGGAGCTCCAATTTGGTGGGATTCCTTTCCCAATGAGCCGAAAAGTTAGTTGACATGGGAACTGTGAGAAGGGGGGTCGACCCAAAGAAACTTGAAAAGTTTTGGCAAGAAGCTGGAATCAGTCATCGTCTTCGTCCTCGTTCTGGTCTTGGTAGCGAATGTAGACGACCAGCATGACAAAGCCCATGAGGATGCAGAGGGACCCGACCACCAGGTAGGCGATCCCCAGGAAGGGGTTCTTGCCACCCATCCACGAGATGCTGCTGAAGATGATGCGCTTGTGGCCACCGAAGGCGCGCACCGGGTAGTTGTAGGAGATGTTGACAAAGTAGGAGCCCCGCGGCAGGCCCGTGGAGTAGTTGCCCTGGCGGATGCGCGCGTACAGCTTGCGGAAGGTGGGCAGCGCCGCGGTGCGCATCCACACCACGAAGTCCTGGTTGATGAAGCCGGTGTTGTTGGGGTCGGAGCTGAGATCATAGACCGGCCGGCGCCAGTTGGGCGGGTGCGCGGTGCCCTGGAAGGCCAGCGCCAGGCTGCCGTTCACCAGCGGCGGGTTTCGGAACTTGATGTGCAAGTCGGTCCACCAGGCGATGCCGGTGCGGTCGAGCGGCACCCGGACGTAGGGCCCGCCGGGCCGCCACTGGTGCCACAGCGAGAAGGAGTCGTTGAAAAGGCTGTTGGCGATGGCGCCGCAGGGCGCGATGGGCAGGCCGGCGGGGCTGCGCTGGTAGGGGGCGCACTCGTTGGCCGGGTGGCGCAGCGCGCTCTGCACGCCGCTCAGCTGCGCGTCGTCGCGGGACACGCCGTAGCGCCGGTTGTTCTGGTAGAAGTTGGAGAGCTCGTAGTAGAAGAACACGGGGCCCTGGAACAGCTCGGGCAGCGAGAAGTACCAGGCGCACCAGCAGCTGGGCGGCGGCGCGCGGCCCTGGCCGGCCATGGCGCACACCGAGCAGTTGCCGGTGCCGGGGTTGCCGGTGTAGTCGTACTGGAGCTCCTTGATGCCGTTGGAGGAGTAGTAGAGGCCCAGGCCGAGGCCGATGAAGGCCAGGCCGGCGCAGAAGAAGAGCGGCAGCGCGATGCTGGCTGACAGCAGCGGTTGCCAGGCCGGGAGGCGCTGCTGCGTGAACGCAGTGTTGTCGGGCTGGTGCGCGCCGCGCGCCGTGGCGCTCCAGGTCATGGCGGCCCGGGTGGGACGGGGCTGCGAACCAGAGGCTCTCAGGTGGGCCCCGCCGCTGGGGGCCGCCCCCTCCGCGCCGGGAATCCCGGGGTTTACTTACACCCAAGTCGTGTTTTCCGCCGGCTCAGGTGAGGCCTGGCGTTGGCCCCGCCTTCGCTTCCCACGCAGGTGAAGCCTAGTTCAAGTTCTCGGTGAGGTGACCAGACCCCTCAGTTCCACCTGGCTCCAGGTTATCCCGATCGGCCCCGCCCTGCAGATAACCCGCAGCCCGCGCTCCGCCCTTTCCGAGGTGAGGCCGCTGGGTGTTCCTTTCCTTACCTGTCCCGCCCAAGCTCGCTTTCCTCGCCTTTCAAATACCAGCTCCTCCTCCTCAGGCTAAGTGGCGGCGCCAGACTGCCTCTTAGTGGTTCATACCTTGCCAGGTGTCACCTTTTCTGCCCTATTTCAATGAATGACAGCATCCGGGCTTGGCTGGTCTTTTTTGAAGCCGTAGGAAGGTCAGCCTCCAGCCCAATCCCACTGAGGGCTTGCGTCAAGGACCCGGAAGACTTCAAGACATCAAAATGCTAATTTTTCCTTATTTGGAGGCGGAGAGGTGATTGCAGACCTTCTTGTCCATTTAGGTTAACTTTTAGACTCTTTTTAACGTGTTCCAGCCACAAATCTTAATGCCCAGGAAATTAAACAGTGGCAAAGCTGCTTCAAATTCAATGTCTTTATTTAAACTATATAGCTTATAATATTTTGACAGGAAAAAGTCTATTCAGGCCCAAATCCTCAGTTTGGCAGTATAACTAAGATTTAAAGTTTCTTTTAAATGCCCCATAGAGGCAGAAGTGGGGGAGAGGAGGAAGAAAAAGACTGGATCAGTTCAGAGCCTTTAAAATATCATTCTCCACGGAAGATATCACAGAAGGACGAAAATTCACTGGACTACATGCAATTTCTTCCCCCCAGCCCCACCCAAATTACTGGCTTCATTGAAGACAGGCTTGTTCTAAGAGTCCCAGGAGACTGTTAGCCACAGTCAAGGAAGTTTGAAGGGTTTGACTAAGGAGATAAACTGCAAGAATTTGTAGAACTTTAAAGACAACTTAAATTTGCCTTAAACATTGTCTAGGATTCTAGCTTCTATATCCAAGCTAGTTCAGCCCATATAAGAGATAAAAAATAATTTTAATTTTGTGGTAAATCCTCCCTAAATATTGAGGTGTGCCTACCTCACATCCAGCTCATTAAATGCAAACATCATACATATTTTCTGCATTACATTTCTGCACATACCATAATGTACTTCATTAAAGAGGCATTCAAAATCCATAGAATTTTGTGTATTAAGCAATAGGATTTTTAAAAAATTGTCTTTCAGAAGTGCCCAATAATAAGGAATGTAGAAAACAGAAGAGAATTAATCTAAAAAGGGACTTTTGTCCTCAAGACATTTGCAGTCTAATAAGAAATATACTACTTAGGAATAAGAAACAAGCAAAATAACCAATAAACTAAAAATCCTAACCTGTTGTTGTCAAGTCTAGCCTGACATGGTAACCCACCCATGTATTATAGAGTAGAACTACTTTATAGAGGTTTTTCTTGATTGTCATCCTTACAAAACCAAATCTGGGTCCAGTACAAGCCATTCGCACCACCTAAACTCTTGCTGATAAGTTGATTCTGACTCACAGTGACTCTGTAAGACAGTAGAACTGCCCACAGGGTTTCCAAGGCTGTAAATCATTACAGAATCAGATACCCACATCTTTCTCCTAAGGAGCAGCTGGAAGGTTTGAACTACTGACCTTTTGATTATCAGCCAAGCACTTAATCACTGTGCCTTCAGAAAGCATGTAATTAAATATCTAATTATGCTTTGCAAATGTGTCACTAACATTGAAAACAGAAATACTAATATTAATAATGGAAGAATTCCATTAATAATAAAGAATTCCTTTTTTAATGAATGAAAGCAGATTGGAAAATTTAGAGAATACTGAGGGAAGCACATGGATTTGCACTCCACTTCCTTCACCTCTTATCAGGGAATTTGGTGACACTGCGGTTAGTTAAGTGTTTGTCTTTGTTTCCAATAAAGATTATAGACTAGGTAACTCTATGAGGCAGCTCTACTCTGTCACTTTAACTAAAAAATGTACTCAACCATACTTAACAAGAGTGCTTTTTATCATACTCTGAGAAAGGAAATTCTGTATTATCAATAAATTTGCACATTGTGATGTTTTCTCCTCGTCTTTTTTCAGCAAGTTTTCTGTCATTGTGGTTGAGTTCTACCTACCTTTACATGACGACTTTTTCTCCTTGATATGGATGGAGTCCACAAAGCTGGTCTCAAATGCAGAATTCAGTTCTCAAAATTTTATCTAGTAGATCTTAAGTTCAGCAGCTGTCATCATCACCACTGCCTCTAAATGTGACATTTTTGGGGGAGCTCAGAGACTTTAGAGCCCTCTGCTTCTGAGATGATTGGCATCAGTTCATTAATCTTGCTAAGGTAACAATGGAGTAACTTATAGAGAGTATTTCTAGACTGAATGGTTAACAGAGTGAAATACAGCCTATTGTTAGACTGGGAAAAAATGTTTCAACAACTAAACTAAAATTAATTAAAAACAAAATAAAAAAGACCAAAAGGATCCATTGGGTTTGATTTCTATAGTCAGGTGAAGGAAAATGTGGAGACAACAAAATAAGAAAACTTATTTTAGAACTGTGTATAAATGGATGAAGGAAGGTAAAGATAATTAACTAGAAGAGCATGTATTCTAAAGTTGGCTCTCTCAGTTTTAATTCATGTGTGTGAACAAAAAAATAAGCTACCTGCCCAACTGACCAGAAGAGATCCACATTTGTTCCCATTCTCAAGGAAGGTAATCCATAGAATGTGGAAATTATTGAACAATATCATTAATGTTGCATGCAATCAAAATCTTTTCTCCATCTTGGAGGGTCAGTGAAGTAAAAGATGATGATGACCCTCCACTGAGATGTTCTGACATGATGACTTCAGCAGTGGCCTTCAAAGTGTCAGAGAAGGTGAAGATGGCACAGGACAGGCAGGGTTCAAGTTGGCTGTTCAGAAGATCACACTAAGTTGTACTCATCTCGACAGTACTTAGCAACGACATCATCATGATGTTGTTTATCAGTCCATTGGTGAGGATTTTTGTTTTCTTGATAATGAGATGCAATCCATATTATAGTCCTTTCTGCATCAAAGTTGGTGTACGCCTTGACTGATCCGTATGCGCTTGCGGGTGTGGAGTGATCACCCTCCAAGCTGAGCTTGCAGAGAATTTCATGAACAGTAGACATCTTGAAAGAAGCTGGGCCAGGCGCCGAGCGCTGTGAGCCTCCCCTGATGCAGAGCCCATATTATAGTCCTTGATCCTCTGTAGCAAGTACTTCAGTTCCTCCTCACTCTCAGTAAGCAGAGTTGTGTCATCTATATAATATAGGTTGTTGATGAGCCTTCCTCCAATTCTTATGCTACATTTTTTTCCCCATAAAGTCCAGCTTCTTGAATGATTTACTCAGCATACAGATTGAATAGGTATGGAGAGAGAATACAGCCCTGACACACACCTTTGCAGTGTTCCCTTGCTCTGTTCAGACAACAGCTCCTCAGTCTAGGTATAGATTTCATACAGGTACAAGTACATGTTCTGGAATTCTAAGATTAAACATAGTTTGCTATGATCCATATAGTCAAATGCCTTTGCATAGTCAGTAAGACATAAATGGAAGTCTTTCTGGTATTCTCATCTCTCAGCCAAGATCCTTATGACATCAGCAATATTATCCCTGGTGTCATAGCCTCTTTTTTATTATTTTTAATTTTAATGAAAGTCTACAGACACTTTGGATTTCCATTCATTTATTGCTGCACTTTCTC